TCCTTTCCACCAGTTTCAGGTCAGCTGTTGGTCCTGCTGGAATAATCTCCCTCTGCTTCCCAGGCCAAGCCCTATACCTCTAAGTTCTAACAGCCCATGCCTTTAAGACTAGGCTATTGCCACTTACTGGGTCCTCCCAGAGCACATTTTATGACCCTCATTAGAGGTCTGCAGTCACTTGAGGTAAAGAACCATGCTCACTGAGAATCTATTATATCACTAATAATAGCTCAATGCCTAGTGCATAATAGATAGTCAATAAATATTTGTGCAGTTAATAAAGGAGTCCCATAAGTTACTGTGGACCTCTGAGAAGGGAAAAGGTTCAGGGAAAATATCCCCTCATAGAATGTTGCTGTAAAATTCACATTAAGCCTGACTGAAGAGCATCTTGCATGCTTTTCATTGAATTTCATTCTGACAGGAAATAGTTGTGCCTGTTTAAAAAAAAGCACAATACATAAAAAATTAGTATTGAAAACCCAGTATGTTGGCAGACGGTTATCTGTTTAGGAGTGTAATTCTTTTAAGCAAATGTGCCCACATTCGTGTCTTTTACTGTTAGATCAACTTGTATACAATCTTCAAATTACATACCTGTGCTATAAACCTACAAGACATTTGTGTCAGAAAATATTCACTTTTTGATAGGGCACTAACTCTTGCAGACTTTTAGCACATTGGTTAGCAGATATACGAATAAAAACAGCTTAGAGGGACAGTCTGCAAGTCTGAGTTAACTGAGGTAGGAGCACCTACACCCCAAATGAAATGGACTTATTATTAATTAATGTGCTCTTCAGGCACATTCCCAGGCTTTATTTTTGTTTGCTTTTTTGGCAGATAAAGCTGATAGGCAACTTTGAGTTTGCTAAAACATCTCTATGGGTCTAAATGTTGCCAAATATTTGGAGAAAGCTATTTGGCATGATGTGAACGAAATATCAAGATAGATAACTCAGACTTTTCCTTTTAATGTGAAGCTTTGGATGCTTTGTAGAACAATCTACAAGCACACGGCTTCCTGTTTGGAAGTCAGTTGCCTTTCTCCGAGGACTTGGGTGTTAATCTTGGCTCTAGGCTGGGGTCCAGACGTTCTGGCCCAGTGCTCTCCCAGGGCCATGACTGGCTTTGAAAGAGCTTCTTGATCTCCATTAAGGGTGCAGTTCCAATGATGCATTCATTTCCCCCCTTCGTTTCTTTTTCTTACACCCTAGCAACTATTAATGAACTCACAATCAATCTGTCTGGTTGCTGGATGAGGTTAGAGGATTTTCACTAGTCTTGTGACTGCTCATAGGAAACCAGATGCAGCCATCAGTTTACTGCAGACTCTTTCTCCCCCCCAGCATCTCTGCTATTGATTAAGTAACGCCACCCTGGGGCTTGTTCCTGATAAATCAGCTTCACAGAAAGCAAAGTGATGGGGTCTGCACACAATCCCAGCACTCTAGCCATGACGGCTTAACTTAAGCAAGACAACACATTGATGCTAAGCAGCCCCTCCTGAGATTCCTGGTTTTAATCTGAGTTAGTGTTTATCTTGAGAGGAGATTTTCCAGAGGTGAGGTGGGTGCTGAGAAGCTCACAGGCTGTACCCACTGGCTGTGTGGAAGGATTCAGATAACTGTATAGCAGGAATGCGATTCAGCTTGGCTGGGTGCTCCAAACTCCAGTCCTTCACATGATCTTAATTATTCTAATCCTAATATACAGATACTGGAGTCTAGTAATATCTCCACAGTGACTTCTGGGAGATAAAACACACACACACACAACCTGACAACAAAAGGAAAGTGCTATAAACAGGAGCAGCTGAAGCTAGGAGGCCAGAAAGCCTGCATTCCAGAAAAAGCTGGGTGTGGGGGTCAGGTGATTAGAGAGCCCAGGCAGTGTGGCCAGGGGCGCACTCAGTCCCCTTTCAGGAACTGGGCAACCGGCAGAGGACTAGGAGGAGGAGGGGCTCCTCCCACATCACACAAATTGATACTTGCGTTTATATATGTATACTGTTTTCTTTTACTACAAAACCTCATTTAATAAGTATTCCTAGAGATTCTCCACTTTTTTAGAGCCTAGCAATAATAAACTGCTGTGTTTTAAAGGCATAGTTGACTCTACCATAGATAAAGTTAGCAAGAGTAGAAGTAGAAAGATAGGGGTTGGATTCTCTTTTCAGAGGCCTTGTTCCCAGTTTTAAAAAAGTGGTTGCAATTTCCTCATTGTTTTCTTTGAATTTGGATAATACAGGGATTGCATGAGAAATGTGAGTTACTGTGCAAAGTTACCAGCTCTGTTGGGCAAAGAAAATTAAAAAGGTACTACCCATATTAATTAGGATTCATTCTAAGCTGCTATTACAAAGAGAGCCACCCAATATAGTGCTTAAACAAGAATGAAAATCTCAGATCCTTTATCATAAGTGTGTCTCAGCCAGTGGGAAGGTGGCAGAGGCATGAGGTTGCCAGTGGGAAGGTGGCAGAGGCATGAGGTTCACATGCCTGTTCCTCTCAGTGTACAGACAGGAAGTGACAGAGCTTTGTCACATGGCCACACAGCCATGTGGGTCTGGGAAGTCAGCTTTCAGCTGGGTGCCAATGTTCTCAGCTAAAGACAGGAGTTCTGCTATTAAAGGAAGAAGTATTACATGATATTGGTGGACATCTGCTGGGTCTCTGTAAAAGGAGGGGAGTTAAGGGGGGCTTAGGAAGGAGGCCTCGTGATTACCCTCCCCCAGCCCCCACCTTATTTGCAAGCCTGCCCCCCTCCCCCAGTGCCCGGGACCCAGGGTGCACATGAAGGTTGGGGGCTGTCCCCAGCCTGGTGTTTCCCCAATCCTTAGGAACCCTGGAAGTGCCACCGTGGTGCTGGGAGCCTATGACCTGTGGCGTCGGGAGAGTTCCAGGCAGACGTTTTCCATCAGGACCATCAGCGAGAATGGCTATGACCCCCAGGAGAACCTCAACGACCTGCTCCTGCTGCAGGTGGAGACGCACTGGGGGCAGGGGTGCCACCCGAGGGGCCTAAGGGAGCTCACGTGTGTGTTTCCTTTGATGGTTTACAAAATACAGAAAACGTCCTGAGACACACCACAGGCCACTTATCTAGCTGAAGTTGTTTCCATGTGCTTTTGTTACAACAGAATCACGGGGAACTCCTTCGTACAGTGTTCTTACAAAAATTTCTCCATCCCGGGCAGCTAAAATGACCAGACCAATTTACCCTCCGCTACAGCAGAATTTAAAACCGCCCATTTTCCCACATCTTCACTGACATTGGGTATTATGATTTTTTAACTTTTCTTTTGGCCGGCTGGCTTGCTGTTTGTATCTGCACTTCCAGGGTAAGCCCTTTTGCGTTCAGGGTCTTCTTTTATGCACCAGACCACCTTTGTGGTAGGAATGATTTGTTATTGTTTTTCTGTGGGGGAGGAACCAGAGGCCCAGAGAGGGCTTTAGCCAGCATCCCACAGCAGGTTACTTCCCGAGCCGGAATTTGCACTCAAACCACTTACAGATCAAAATTCATTTTGCTGCCACTTCTGTCCTAGCTGCGGCCCCGTGAGGCCCCCTAGTTCCTCTCTCCCCTGACTCAGTTTCTCTCCCTACCTGGACCGTGAGGCCAACCTCTCCAGCAACGTGGCACTGGTGCCGCTGACCCATCAGAATGTCACTGTGGAAGCCGGCACCAGCTGCCAGGTGGCCGGCTGGGGGACCTGGCGGACTGGGGGACATCTCTCTCGCTTCCCAAGGGTCTTCAACGTGACCGTGACTCCCAAAGACCACTGTCGCCCCAACAGTGTGTGCACTGGTGTGCTCACCCGCCAGGGTGGAATCTGCCAAGTATGGCCAGGCCGGGTGCAGACCCAGCGTGGGATCCTCCCAAGCGCAGTAATTGTACAGATGCTGAGAAACAGGGACTGTCGTTATGTCCACCTGGCAGAGGGGATGCTGAGTTTCAGAGAGGTTCGGTGAATCGCCTGAGGTCACAGAGCTCGTGTGAACTTTGAACCCAGATCTATGTGATCCCGGGGCCCCTTCACCCCCTCTCCTTTTGGTGGAGGTTATTTTGTGCAGCACCATGCACGGGAAACCTGGAAACAATATTGGCCACTTGGATCACAGATGGCTAATGTGCCTGATACATAAAGAGCTAAAATATGACCATTAAATAATAAGTGTAATTGTATATATAAGTGTTATAGATAACAATGTAGTTATGTCATATATAATTGTATTAAACTAGATAAAATGTCTTTATTAAAATAAAAATTTCAAACCCTTCTATTGCATTTTTACATGCTTTATTTTGAAAGTGTGTGTGTGTGTGTGTGTGTGTGTGTGTGTGTGTGTTTTTTGGCTGGCTGATACAGGGATCAAACCCAGACTTTGGTGTTATCAGCACCATGTGAATATATTTTTAACAACATATAATAACATATAATAAGTTCAATATATAAAGAGTTTCTAGGGCTGGCCGGTTAGCTCAGCTGGTTAGAGAGTCGTGTTACAACACAAAGATCCAGGGTTTGATTCCTGTACTGGCGAGCCGCCCCAAAATAAAAATAAATAAATTACTTAAATTAAATAAAGAAAAAATAGGGATGGCTGGTTAGCTCACTTGGGAGGGCATGGTGCTGATAACACCAAGTCAAGGGTTAAGATCCCCTGGGCCGACCCTGTTGCTCACTTGGGAGAGTGCGGCACTGGTAGCGCTGAGGCCGCGGGTTCGGATCCTATATAGGGATGGCCGGTGGTGCGCTCGCTGGCTGAGCATGGTGCAGACAACACCGTACCGAGGGTTACGATCCCCTTACTGGTCGTCTTTTAAAAAATAAAATTGGGCTGGCCCGGTGGTGCACTGCTACAGTGCGCCGCTTGGGAGCGCGGTGGCGCTCCTGCCAAGGG